AGCATCTTCTAACTAGCTCTTCTTTTCCACAGTCCAGTGGACTGTGGAAAATGAAGGCTTGATATCATGTACTGGAATCAGTGCAATGGGGAAGGCTGTTAAAATTTTTCAGTATTAAACCATAGACCCTTGTCAGTGCCCTTAGCCATAGGTACACTCTGTCCTTGCAAAAAGTACATTGATCTGCAAGATAAGTTGCCTTGCCAATGGATCATGTAAGAAGGCTACCTTGGGATGCAAGTGAGTAATAATCCAAAGGCAGTAATTTCCTTTCAAGTCCTAACTGACTGCCATAATAATGCAAATTTCTTTAGACATGTCAGCAGTTTCCATTTTTGTATTTCTGTCATTTGAATTCACGCTTCCCATCTGTTACATGGAAGAAATCCATTCCTTCTATTCATATAGTGGATGAAATTTTATTTTGAATAACGTTGTTGTAATTCTGGATTGAATAAGTTTAAAGGAATGTAATTACTCCAGCTTAGACACATAAGAACCAGGAAAGAATTTGGATTTATGTTTCAGGAGGGCCTGAGATAGTTCTTACCCTGGTTCTGTATTGATACCACATGGGACTCAAATTCTGAGTATTTTCTCTGATTTGCTCCAGCTCTTAATTTTGCCTATAGACAGTCATACAGATATCATGAAGTTTGGAGCCAAATGATCCCTATTGATCTAGGTAGCTTGTCAGTGTACAGGATGCTCTGAAACTCATGAGATTTTCTCTGTATATCAGCAACAGTGACTAGCTTGTCAGATTGATGTGCCCTTCTATATTTTTCTCTCATCATGTCTTTAAAACACACTTCAAAATATTAAAAGCTGAATTTTCAGCCTAGTTTGGGCCTCTCCATGAACACTCTGTTTTATGACTCTCTTGCAGAATATTAGTTTGTAGTGCTGATAAATGGCCTTTTTTGTTTGAAAGGAGCATGATGTATTTGGACTGAAAAGCCATTTATCACACTTCCACTCTTTTTTTTCTTTCCTGCTGGCAAGGTGCATGTAGCAATTAAGCATTTTACAAGTAAATTACCAGTGTAGTATATGCCAAAGAAAAGTATCTGTCTAGAGCTTTGGCTTGATTTTCTGAAGACAGTAAAGTGTGCCTCTCCAAATTGTCTTTAAAGATTGTAGTAAAAGGTTTATGATCTGTATCTGCTAGCATGGGTGACTCATAATAAATATACTCCAAAGGTGTAGTGCCATGTCCAGCACTGATTGCTCCAGCAAATGAGTACTCCTCTTCACTGGAGTCATTTGTAATCATACAACAGCTTGACTTTCTGTCTGGAAAGGCACCGTTTTGTCAAACTGGTTTATGCCACTACATCTCTCATAGCATTTTCAGAGACTATGACAGCTGTTGGTTTCATATTTACTCCCACACTTTTCTGCACTTTAAACAAATGCTGCTTCTCTTCCTTACTCTGAATGTTCTAGATACTGTTGAAGCTTTCTTTCATTGTGTTTTTTTTTTTTAAACAAGAAAAGCAACTAAAATAGTAATGCATATTATGAACACATAAATTGTTTTCTTTCTTTATATACAGATTTAACAGTTTTTACTTCTTGTATGCTTTAACAGCTCCTCTGTCTGCTATTCTGCCTCAGAGGTTATACTTGTTTTGCTGGGCTACTCTTCCAATTAGTTTTCCTTGTCTTACTGAGAAGTTGTGACCAAATCATGATGCTGGCTTTATGTGTGGTATGCAGATTGCCTCCAGTAGTTTTTAGCAGACATTCTGCTTGCAAAGAAGCAGAAATGTCAGGATCTTGTGCATCATGGATTATAATTTTGATCCTCTAAGAGGAAAGATACAACACTCTATAGAGCTCCTCAACCTGAAGAAATGACTCAGGAGAGAGATTATATATGTAAAAACCTGAATGCAGGAAGAAAGTGAATAGAGAGTGAACACAAAAGCTGCATGAAATTATTTGGTAGGATGGTTTAAAGAAAAAAGGAAAATTACACAATGCAGAAGTAAGCTCTGGAACTCATTGGCACATGATGTTGATATCAGAATTGTAAATGAATTCAAAAAGCAATTGCACATATTAATGGAAGAAATATTCTCAGGGACTATTAATAGCCTGAATTTCTAAAGGCAGATAAGAATTCAGCTTGGAGCTGTGAGAAGCAGCAGCTAGCAATTGCAAGGGCAATTGGTGTTTTTGGAAAAGCTTCTCTGCTTCTGGTGCTGTAGAAGGGCAAAGTATTTTTGTGTGTGCAGACGTCACTGCTTCTGGGGTGGGCAAGGGGTGAGCTGTTGAGGTGAACTTACACACGCACACGTAAGTGTAACGCATTATGCTCTTTAAGCAACCAAGGGAAATTAATTCCAACTGCTCTCTCTGAAACTCAGTTTGCTACTTCAATCCATACATGTTGGATAAATTCTGCACTCATTTTCAGCTTCTGCAGAATGTTGCAAGTTTTGTCTTACTAAAATGATGAATCTCTGGTCTTTTAGTTCTCACATGAGCCTCACACTCATCCTGTTTGATCTAACGCCTCTTATTTCCTGAGAGAGACTTTGCTACACTATCTTACCTTTACAACCTTGTTTGCCCTCTGAGTTATTTATGGACAGTGAGTGAACCTCCATATAGACTGTGCTGTTAAACCTGCCTAGTATGTGGAAGATTACTTTAAGACTTTGTAATTTTTGTGCAGTTTAAAAAAGCTTCTTATCTCTGCTTGTCTCTGGTTTAACTGTTACCTGTAGATCCGTTAAGGATGTTAAAGTGATATCAGATCTCAGCAGATAAGGAAGTGACAGTCCAATTCCTGTTATCCTGTTGGTTCTTACGTGTTTGAGTTCTGCATATTTTAATTTATTTACAGTGAGCTCCAGGCAACTACTCTATCACGATGTTTGTCTTTGTTGTGGACTGATAAGATCAGTACAAACTCCAGTTACGCTATTCCTAATGAGAGAATATTTCTGTTTGAACACCAAGATTTGTTTCTGAGTTATTTAAGGCAACATAAAATAAATATTCTGAACATATTAATTTATTATTTTGATTGCAAGGATTAATATTCTAAATAAGGATCTGAATAGAAAATAAAAGAATGTCAGTGTTGGGTTTTTTTAATTTGATTTATTTTTTACTATTATTTCTATAGTTTAAAGTCATTTAGTTTCCTGAAAACTGACTTTTGACTGAAAGCATTCTGCGTGCCAATTATCCCCAATAATTCAAACAATTTGCCAGCAATACATCCCTGTCTTTCCCAAGACCTTTCAATTGTGATAAACAGACGTGAATGGTAGTGAGGATAGGACAAGTTTAGTGACGGCCTTGAAAACTGTTATTTAAGCATGTATTTTCTCCATTTAGAAGGTATTCAGTAAGTGCCCGTAGAGTGCGCTCATATTACCAGGGACAGGCTGGCAACAAATCTGTAGGCATATTAGGGTGCAGATGATCAAGAAAAAAACTGGAGATCAGAGAAGGGCCACACTCTGCTGGTGAAAGAAAGTGAAAGATCCTGCAACTTCAGTAAAGTCATTCCATATTTCACCAGATTAGCATTGTTTTAGTTCTAACCATATCATTTCCACTGGGTTATTTTTATTTCTTGCCATTAAGGGCTTTTTCTGATGTTTCCATTCTCTTTGAAAAATTTTCCTCGGCTTGAATTTCTTTCATGAATTACATCACTATTACAAGCTTTGCTTGGTGTCAGAGGCTCTTTTGCAATCAAGGAGAGTGCTAGCCAGCACTGTACAGACTGTACCACAGACTTGCATCAAACACTGTAACTCAGTCAACCCCTGCAGTTCGAGCTTTCAGTGTTAATTCAGAAAAGGGAGAACTACTCGGGGTTCTTCTAAATGAAAAAAAAAATAGTATTTTCCACTTGTATCATGTCATGACCTGAGGAAAATTGTCCATGTATTTTACAGGTTTTATCTTCAGCTCTTCTGCTCAATATGCTCTCATAAATATTTCTGTTACTGGTGACTTTCTTGTTGCTAGCTGGTGTCTTCTGTAGAAGGGGCAGATTATTGTTTAAAAATTGAGTTTGTGTTCTACTTTCACAAACTGTGGGTTGATCCTGAAAAGATCAGACACTATTGTTCTGTAACTACTGTCAATTTTACCAAAGTGACCTTTTGTCTCCGAATAGAATGATTTTATCTTTGCTGAGGAAAATCTATGTAAGATTTTGAATGGAAAACCTTACAAATTATCTGAAAAAAATGGACTTTCTGGTATAGTGATCGCAACTGAACTCTAAGGCACTGCAGCTCTACAGCTACTCCATATTTGCAATAAAGATAAACTTTTTTGACACTTTAAATTAACAACTACTTACACAGGTAAAAAAACATTTTTTTGACTGAATATTTGTAATATAAATAGATTACACTTTAAAAAAATAGAGTTACAAAAATATCTGTATCAAGCATGAAATTCAAGGGGTGAAACTTATTTTCTGCCATGTTATAGTATGGCATTATAATTAATTACACCATAATTGTCTATTCCTATCATCTTACTATCTCTCCATGCTATGAATGCTACTGAATAAATGTAATTGAAATGTCAGACTTCACACAGATTTGTGATATAATGTATATCAGAACTAATTTCATAACTCGTTATATCAATCATTAATACAATAGAAGTACTTATTCAAATACTTATTCAAGAAGAACTCTACATCAGCCAGAAGAGATGGGTAAACTTCCTCCTTGTGTTTGAATCTACATAGCCAATTAAAGAGAAGGAAGGTCTGTTTTAAAGATTATTTGTTTACATATAGCATCTTTTAATCATCTTATTTTGTGAAGTACTTGTCTCAAATATAAGAATTATGGTGACTGATGATTTGCTTTGGCAAACAGAAGATTTGTGGTTAAATTCCAGAGAAGTGACTCAAAGAATGTTGTTCTTATCTGTCACATCTCTAAAAATACTGAGTCTGGAGTAAAGATTTACACGTGAAGTCAATGTTTTCTTCTATATAATTTCAGAATTTCTGCGTAGACACCAAGAAGAAATTGTGCTCAAATCAAGATGCTGATGTTTTTGTTAGTTGCCAGAATGATTTGGTGCATCGTGACAATGAGAAGGACGCGACTGGGGAAGCAACATTAGTGGAAAACCGTGTGATTAAAGGTTAGTTAAGACTTATGATTTGAGTTATGTTTTAGCAAAGCTTAACTCCTGCCTTGATAAATAACTTATATGCAGCATTTTCTTGTGTGATTTTCATCTGGAATCTGTGCTTCAGTCGAAAGTGATGAACATTTCTGCTCCTTCTCCATAAATGCCGTAAGGCAAATTCATCCAAGCTCTCAACAGCAGCATGGTATTAAACTCCGTTTGACACTGAACCATGAGTACTCAGTAGTTTTTAGAAACGGACTTGTGTGGAAATATGCACTTTGTTTTTCCCTAAGAATCTATACATCTTCTGCTACTAATAAATAAATAAATAAATAAATAAATAAAAATTAATTCCAACAGATATATTAAGGATAAGCAAGCCATTTATATTAAACATTTGAGGATGTCTTCAACTTTTTTATTTATTTTGAAGAAAAATTAGCATTGAGCAAATTACTTGACTATTAATTGTTTTCAAGGACACCATTTGCGATAACTGGTTAGGCTTTCTACTTCTCTTTTAACTTTTCAATTTGTCAGAACATATTCAAGTAGAGAAGCCAGATGATATGAGGATAAATCCTTAAGACTTTGAAGTAAAAAAAAAAAACTCAGATGGTTTCATTAGTTATATTTCAAAAATGAATACATTACATTAATCATAACACCAGCACATTTGGAAGGCTAAAGCACAAATACTCATCCTCACAGCATTTGTTTATTGATAACTGATATCAGTATAAGAAATTCCCATAAAATCTCTTCTTCACTGTCTTCTCATTCAGTGTGCCAATCTCCTAAAAAAAGACTGCTTATCTGAAACTATGCAAATGCAACATAAAAAACCTTTATATTTAAAAATTACTGTAGTGTATTGAATATTCAATAATCTGTACTGCTGTGGAGGTTGATTGTTTGGGAACAGTTTTTCTAACAGCGTTTAGGTTTGCAGCAAGCTGCTTTGGAAGATAATCTCATATTTGTTATTTGGTGGCTTTGAAAAATCTCCCTGTAGGTTCCATTTTGTTACAACTTAATGATCTGATGATATTTTATAGTGGTAAATGGTGAAGCTTCCAGGCTGGCAGCTGTAGAGAACAGCATTCTCTGTTTAAACCCCAGGACAACATTGTTAACAAGATGAGTTAATGATGAACTCTCTTGTGCCAAGGGAACTACCTGCACATGACTGGGACTTGACTTTGACAACTGATGTCCATGCTGCAGGGAGCAATTGAATCACCACCATGGGTGATTCAGTCCCTGTAGGGTAGGGCAAGTGTGAGTGAGGTGTTCATGGTTAAACGGTACCTTCTATTCTACTCCATTGCAACAAGGAGATTTCCCAGCCCCTTTCTAAATCACAGTTAGGGGTACAAGTTCTGTAAATGTAGTGCTCAGGTGTTCAATATTTTCAGTCATAAAGACAAACTTGGACTACTTGCAGCTGTTCCTGTTTTGGAGCTTTTACTTACTGTGATTCAGAAGCATAGCAAAACAAGGCATCATTGCTAAGTGCCATCTGCCCTAGGTAGAGTCTGCCTGCTTTCTCACTCTTTATTCATTCTGAGTTAGTAAAATTACTCTTTTGTCCTTCCTACTAAGTCTTATTTGTCCTTGATAAGCTTCTAGAATCCCCAGAACTTCACCATTTTTACTTTATGTAATTCTATTTTTCTTTGCCATTTGAGAGCAAGATGTGAGGAGTGGCTGAGGTCCCTTGGCTTGTTCAGCCCAGAGAAGAGGAAGATAAGGGGAGGCCTCATGGTGGCATACAGCTCCTCACAGGGAGATGAGGAGCAGCACTGAGTTCTGCTCTCTAATGACTGTGACAGGACCAAAAAAACAGCATGGAGCTGTGTCAGCTAAGGGTCAGGCTGGGGTTTAGGGAAAGGTTCTGCACCAGAGTGAAATGGGCATGGAACAGGCTATGCAGAGCTGTAGTCACAGCCCCAATGCTGGAGTTCGAGGAGCTTTTGGTCACCATCCTCAGGCACAGGATTTGAATTTTGGGTGGTCCTGTATGCAGCCAAGAGTTGGAGCTGACACATGCAGGTCCCTTCCAACTCCAGATTCTCTACGACAGGAAAGTTTTCTAGTAACCCTTTTCAAATTTTATTATTATTTTTTAAAATTATCTTCTGTTCAGTGTTCTCCCATTAAGATCCTAACAATTATTTTGTTGTCCCTTCTCTGAAATCTGGGTTTTCACATCTTACACTTAATTTTATAGTCCTTCCTGATTCCAGAAAAAATATTTCTTTCAAATTTCAGATATCAGTCAGGCTCTTTTGCTTCTTCTGCCCATTTCCTATCTCAGGTTTTATTCCTATCCATTTCCCCAAGCTTATGGCTAGAGATGTATGCTTTGTAAATAGTTCTAGTTGTACGCCCAAGTACACTAAAGAAAAAATTGAAGTTAGAGCTGCTGAAGACTTTCTTGCTCCTGCTCCTGTAAAGATTTGCAGCTCTAATTCCTTCCACTTGGTCCAGTTCTAAGCTATGTTTCTGATTTCAATCATATCTCTCTTGCGTTATTCCTCATGAATGCTGCAGTTAATTAAATCTGAGCTCATTGTACATAGACTGTTAGGTGAGACCTAAGTTCAGGTAAAGATTAACCTATGTCACTGAGGATTTTCAAACAAAACAATCATAGAATCATAGAATGGCTTGGGTTGGAAGGGATGTCAAAGATCATCAAGTTCCAAGCCCCTGCTACAAGCAGGGCCACCAACCTCTAGATCTGGTACTAGACCAGGTTGCCCAAGGCCCCATCTAATCTGGCCTTGAGCAGCTCCAGGGATGGAGCCTCCACAGCCTCTCTGGGCAGCCTGTTCCAGCACCTCACCACCTCACCACCCTCACCACCTTAAAGAACTGCTCCTTGACATCCAATTTAAATCTTCCTTCCTTGAGCTTAAGATCATTCCCCACTGTCCTATCAAATCCTCAGTACCTCTGTTCAGCACACACAGAAAATCAAGAGACAATATCATAAAGCTTTTTCTGCAAGACTACAAAGCCTCTCTTGTTTAACTGCCTTGGAGGATATCCCTGAACAATTTTTGCATAACTTTGAGTATACTGTGAATTAAAAGTTGGAGACAGGTAAATCTAATAACATAGAACAAAGAGTGATGATAGATGGTACACTGGCACACCCAGATCAAAGCTGAAGGTTTTTTTCAAAGCTGTGTGTTAGTGAAGTCCAAATTATTGAGCTTAATTTAAAGTTAACTGCAAAATTACACAGGAGATTTGATTAGAAGATAAAGCAGTTCTTCCTGGCCAGTCAAGGGATCCCCAGGAGTCCACTGTTGCGTGCAGCACTGTTCCAGAGTGTATTCTGCTCTGTTAATTCAGAGGATAATGGATTAGAAAATATGTCAAGACTAACAACACAGAGACACTGCTGTGGGTTTTGAGTGGGAGGAAATGTACCATTCACTGACTAATCTTTAAACTTCTACTTGTGAATGTTAAGCCAACTTCCAAAGCATCAAGCCATTTCAAATTCCTAATACGGATATTGAATCCATGCTGTCTCTCTCTCTCAGAAAAACAAAACAAAATAAAAACAGTTACAGACAAAACTGCCATTTCTTATCAAAGGCTAGGTTGTTCTGAGGAGAAAGGCAACATGGTTCTCTTTCAGTGTTAACGCCTCTATTGTTTCCTTGCAGAGTTCATATTTGTAAAGGTAGTATTTATTATCTTTGTTTCTAAGAAATTCATCCTTATTCTACTGTTTCAATAAAACCTGATTTGGCCACTAAAAATATAATCTTATTTTTTTAGATTTGACTGAATTTGAATTCCTTAAAAATAGTCACAATTCTGCAAAGTTGTAACTCTTCACCTGAAATACTTGCTGTATTGGTTTGTTTTACTTTAATTTTGAAATTTCTTCTAACTGGAGTTTCTGAAACATTATCTAATGCTGTTTTGTTTTAGGTGGCTTTTTTTTGTGTTTATTTGTTTGTTTGTTTGTTTGTTTTAATTGGTATCCAGACACTTTAGAAAAGATATTTGAATGTTCTGTCCTTAAACACTTAATTTAGGAAGGCTGGGAAAAACAGAAGGGGCCTTTTGATTGCAATTCAGTGTGCACAAAAATAGTATACTATCTTTGGCAATGGAGATGATTTAAGAAATTTCTGCTCCTGTTCTTCATATTGTACAATTTAGGGCAATACTTTTGGTTACAGAGCTATACTCAAAAACACTGAAATGAATGGAGCATAGTAATTTCAAAATTTAAGCAAAATGAAGAATTTTAAATTACATTTTAAAAAGTTCTTACTTTGGCAATATCACAGGGAACATGCACTAATTTTCTGAATTCAACCATAGGGATAAGCAACATGAATTAGGAACCCTATACTGTATATGTGAATGACAACTCTTCCTTTACTTTCATTTTTAACTATGGAAAAATTTTTATTACCTTCTTTGCCTCCTTGAGTCCTGTAATTATCTTTAAAACAATAACTGTATTATTTTTCCTTTTATTTTGGGCCATATCACAGACCTTATTCCTTGTTGATGTATCTTCTGAGATAAGCTAACAAAAAATGTTAAAATAATGAGTTAAAATAATCAGACTGCATCACTTAATAGGATTATGTGTACTCTTTGGTAAATTATACTTATTTTTAGTTAAACTTAGTTTTATTCTTAGCTAATATTCAGGTTGTACAGCAGGGAACAGAAAGCATTGACTCTGCATCCTTTACACATTTCCCTTATTTATTAGATTTGACTGCATATAAAATATTTGCAATAAAAATGAGTTTCCAGGCAGGAGCATGTAGAACTCATTACAAGGAAAAAGTGTTGCAGTGTTACATGAAGGGAACTAAAGAGGATTTTGTATGAGTCGCCCCTCCCATTTTCTGCCCACGCATGTTTCTGCGGTGGTCCTTTTTTCAGGGGAGGCTCAGATTGGATATCAATAAAATTTCCTCAGCAGCAGTGGTAAAGCATTGGAACAGGATCCCAAGGGAGTGGCCATGGCACAGAAATTCCAGAGTTCAAGAAGCATATGGACTAGCGCTCAGACATGTGGTCTGATTTTTGGATGGTACTATGCGGAGCCAGGAGTTGGAACTTATTATCCTTATGAGTCCCTTCCAACTCAGGATATTCTATGGTGGAAGGTGGTGTGCAGAAGAGCAGATGGGATTGAGTAGGGGGCATGATGCCACACAGAGCTTCTATTCCCTCTATATCCACACAGACTTTATACTTTTCTATGCCCTCCTGCAATGACGTATGATGGCACCTGGAATATGCAAATCCTTAAAGTCCATGACAAATGTTTTCTGTGAGAGTTATTAATATATGAAGTGTTTGATTTGTAATTAAAAAAATATTTATCAACAGTAGTGCAGCAACAGAAAGTAATGACTGTAAGGATTCAATAAAACCAGAAAGATAGACTAGAAAAAAGTGGTAAAGAAGAAAAATTAGAAATAAAATGACAGTGAAATAAGTCAGCAGTTGTTTGTATCTTTCAGGAAATTCTTTTTTTTTTTTTTTAATTGAATTTAAGATTAAACTGTTCCAAACAATGTGCTAGTACATTCCCTACAGAAATAAATGTTAACCATACATGAATTTTAACCCTGCAGTACATATGAAATATTTTGATTGTTACTTTTAACAGTTTTTAAAGACATTATAAACCATCACTAGAAAGAATGATTGATGGATATCAAATGTCAATTGATATCAATGGATATCGGCCCAGGGAATAGTCTGTTCATTTCATTAGCTCTTATTCTGCACACTGACTTCCAGTAGCACTCCCTAAGGAATTAACTCTCACTAGGATTGAGGAGCATCAGAACCAGGCTCACAACAAATAAAACACTACTGTTAATAAAAACACTTTGACTAATACATACACTCTTCCGTTCTGTGCTTTTTCACTGAAGTAATGCTCAGACACAAGGATGTTATTTTACCTTGTTTGGTTCACAATATTATTGTGCATAATAATTCACAACTATTGTTTTCAAGTTAGTCATATCAAATGCTAAATGTTATTAATGTGGCTGAATGTTAGTTTATGCAGCATAAATCCTGAACTGAGATATTTACCACAGCTATAAAACTCTATTATGATCGTGGCCAGGAGTGTTTACTCGTGCAACCTTTTATATACATGAACTGGGGTTTCCAGCACTGGTTGCCTTCCAGCAGTGATGATGACAGGTTACTTTTGTGCCTGCATTTTGGATGAGTGCAGAATTGAGAGTTATGGCAACTGTTAGTGACCTTGAAGTCTGTGAAAAAAAGCTAGCATATTCAGAAAAAAAAATCCTACCCACCTGAGAATGTGAGTGAGACAAATGGAAATTTTTAGTCTGCAAAACATTCCCTTTCCACTATAAAGGCAAACATAATTATACAAATTGTTCCAGGAAGAGCGGAGTTAATGAAATTTAGTTTCATAAGGATTCAGGTCTGTTGTCCCCTGCTGCTCCTTTCCCTCCTTCCCTGATAATAACCAAAACTCTCCTTATGGTACTCCTATTATATGAAAAAGAGCAGGTTTGGAGCTATGTGTGTGTTGAGTAGCCAACCAATACACACATGCTGATTTATCCTTCTGTTTGCTGCCAAATGGAGAGTGTAACAGCTGTGTTCTGCATGCCTCTCTTTCAACAGAGGATCTAATACAACTTTCTCTTCTGTAATCACACTATGGCTTCTTCCCCCTTTTCAAATTTGACTGAAATTGGCAAGGACAAACTTTAAAAAGTACTGTAGAGATTGGCAGATGGATGGATAGACGGCATGATGACACAAGCCTCGTTTTCTTAGCAGTGTAGATGGTATATCTGATTCAGTAATTCTGTGTTGAGGCTAATGGATTTTTTTCAAGTAGGAAAAAAATTGCATTGATTTCACTGTTCAAAATCCCCTTGGGATCATTCAGCTTATCCCATTCATTGCTTAATGCTTTACTGAAGTGTAAATATATACATTCCAGAAGGCGTCCTACATTTTATTTTAGACGGGAGACAACTGTGATTTACTCTAGCCGGATGACATTAAATTTCCTTTTCTCCTTGAGTTGTCTTGCTTAGAAGTATATCATTTTGTTTTTCTGTGTTTGGGAAAGAAGAAGGTCTAGCTATGCCATCCATGTGCATCCTGTACTTTATATCTGTATTAGCGAGTCTAACTGCACAAACAATATTTTCCTTGCTGAATCACAGAGATTAGCTTATTCATTCGGTGCCCATTTTATTCATTAGTTTACTTTTACTGACAACAAGCACAGCCAACCTGAAAATGAACTACAGACCTGGAAATGTTTGTTAAGAAGATAGTAGCCACTTGTGTGAGTGCTGTGAGTGAGATCTCCATTGAATTTCTCATCATAGGGTGGATTCCTTTCCCTTTTGATGTCTAGATCTGGAAATATATTGCTAATTTAGTCATTCCTGTAAAGAAGCAGGGGTACTTGAAAGCAAATTTGTCCATGATAAGTTGTGTTCTGGTTCAGGTAGACAGCTCCCTGATGAATGTAATGGTTATTTCTGGCCTTAAAATCAGAACTTCAGAAAAAAAATGAGTCCTGTCCATTTCTCAGGAAGAGGCACCTCAGCCATGGAGAGTCTTAGAACGAACTGATAAGAACAATCATACATCTGGTTGCTTGGAAAAGGGGAATACAGTTGTCCCAAGAATAAGCTTGGGAGAATTTTTGTTTGAAAAGCTCAGTGCCATAAGGAAGAATGTATTCGATAAGCATGGCCTTGCAGAGAGATCAAATAGGCTGTGAGGGTTTGTACATATTTGCAAGTTGTTTCTAGTTACGTTGCTGTAAATTTACCAAACAGAAACAGCTGTTCCCAAAGCAGTATTTCACACGATTATACCACTTCATATGAGATTTGCTTTTGAAACACAGTGCCCTCTCAGCTCCATTAAACACGGGGCATTGTGACAAACCTGAGCAGTTCCTGTCTTGCTGCTGTACATCTCTTTCCCACTCCTGAAGTGCCAAAAAACATGGTGGCTCCAGAGGGAAAATGTGGGGCACTGCTTCTTGGAGGGATACAATAGGAATATATGAGCAAGGCAGGAGATCATGGGGCCTTTTGGCAGCAGGCTATAGCTCACACATGAGAAGAGTAAAATCAAGCTCTTTCCACACAAGGGATTAGAGCAGAGCCCACCTACTCTGGAGTTGCTAAGAGGCCTCATGTGAGGGTCTTTGCTCTGGTGGGGGAAGGCCACAATTTTTTGAAAGGTCAGTATGGCTGAAGGTTGGTCTGTGTGGACGCAAAGAAATGAACTTCAAGGCTTTTCACTTAAACTTCATATCATTCTCAAGCTTTCATCTCTATTTATTGTATTACATTCTGAATAAGAGAAAACTGGGGATTTTGGCTTCAGGAAGTCCTGAAAAGCCACCACATATTCCTAGCTACATATTCATCTTTTCAGGCAAAGAACATAGGAGCAAGTCTGCAACAGGGATTGTAGGTATTGCATGATGCACATGGATTGCTCATCTCTTAACAGTTTAATTCTGCTTTTTCACTCTCAGTGATCACACTTCTAAAGCATTTTATTAAACCTTTGAATGGTCTGTGGACAACTGTCAGGGAGTAGACAACAGATTAAGAAATATTTAGGTGTTACACTGAGGATCATGGTTTAGCGGGAAATACTGTTGGTAGGTGGATGGTTGGACTAGATGATGTTGGAGGTCTTTTCCAACACTGGTGATTCAGTGGTTCTTTGATTATCTGGTTTGTCTGTAGACTGTGTGGTACAAGCATAGCTCAAAAATTGAGAGAGGAATTCTTAAAAAGTGAAGATCATTTTATAAAATGGTCAGCTGGATTTCATTCTTGATCTGCTGCAAATGTTGTTCAGAAATGTGTGTAAGTCACTTAAGATCTCTGTGAATATCAGAAAAAAGAAGAGAATATTTTTTCCTTTGTTTTTGACTTTTGTGGTTGTGTGAATTGTACATTTTTTTCTGGGCAAGTGCAGAGCCTTCAATCTCCTTACAATCATTATTTGTTGATTTCTCAGGTCTAACAAATAAGACACTTAGAAAGTGTGAAGGTGAAAAGGAACAGAAAGAAGAGCACGACTATGAGTATGTGGATGAATACGTAAGGAAAGCAGTTCAAGATGGCACATTTTGCCAGTTGTATCCTGGGCTGCATCAGAAGAAACATGGTCAGCAGTATGAAGGAGGTGATCCTGCCTCTCTGCTCTGCTCTGGTGAGACCTTGCCTGGAGTACTGCATCCAGATGTGGAGTCCTCAGTACAGGAGAGACACAGATCTGTTGGAGTGCGTCCAGAGGAGTACCACAAAAATGATCCAAGGGATGGAACAACTCTCCTACGAGGACAGGCTGAGAGAGCTGGGGTTGTTCGGCAAGGAGAAGAAAAGGCTCTGGAAAGACCTGAAAATGGCCTTTCAGTATCAAAAGGGGGGCTGTAAGAAAGAAGGGGTCAGACTCTCTAGCAGGATCTGTTGTGATAGGATAAGGGGAAATGGTTTCAAACTAAAAGAGGGGAGATTTATACTGAATATAAGTTAAAAATTGTACTTATGGTAAGGGTAGTAACGCATTGAAACGGGTATCCAGGGATGTGGTGGATGCTCTGTCCCTGGAGTCAGAATAGACTGGGCTCTGAGCACCCTGATCTTGCTGTACGTATCCCTTATATTACTTTGCAGGGGGACCTTTAAATGTTCCTTCCAAGTCAAATGATTCTACAATTCCAAATATGGATAGCCTCTGAAGAAAGAGTGTGGTTGTACTCTATCATCACATATTGATGCAAACAAATGTTGTCAGAGTGATTTTCATGTTTTCCAGTAACCACTATCCTTCAAAATGAGAAAAAGTTTTCTCTGAGAGCTACCATCATTGATTGTTGCATATGTTCTGTGAAGAACGTGGGAAAGGCACACCTGAGTTAGACACAATTACTTGTGACCCAATGTTGCTCTTAGTGATGCCACTTTGTCAAAGTGGTATCTCTAGTTGTTCTGGTAATATAAGTGCATAGGTGGAGCTAAAACCTTAATTAGACCAACAATGCAAAAATACGTGAAAGCACAGACTGCAATCTTTGTTCCTTTTTTAGAAGTGTGCACCTTCTAGTCAATAATTAAGATCTGTCTCTTAAAAAGCTTTAAGAAAATTATTTGTGTTTCTACTGATTTGTTGCATTTCTGCTTTGGCAGCCTTCGGAAAATTTAAAGTACTGGTGAAGAGGACCTTTGCTTCTAAAAACTTTAAGTATCATTTCCAGCCAAACATAGATCAGATTTTTTCCTAGAAACGAATGAAACTGCATAGAACCAACATATTTTACTCATACCTGAACCTTCTATTAACTTTTCTTGACTTAGCTGAATTGCTTTCTTATCAAGAAAAAACCCAGGAATCTCAGAAATAAACTTGACATGTGTTTCAATTATTTAGATTTTTTTTAATTATGAAGTGATTATTTATTCAAAATGTACTTGTTATTTCAAAATGCCATGCAACATTTCTATTGCATTTGAGTTGGGCAGTGTACTGCACCTGAAATACGCTTCTATTTTTCAATTTTTTTCAGATCCCCCAGAAACATGTAGGAAACATACATGGTTGAATATATCTGTCTTCAAATATGACATAAAAGCAAACAGAAGCCCCCAGTTTTTCCATTCAGGAGTCCTCAAATAAGGACTGGTTTCCCCACAATCCCACACAGAGTTCCCCTCTAAATTCTCCAAACCCCACACAAAATTGCCTTCTAAATAAAGAGTGAATTTTTATGAAGACATGAGACTAAAGAGGTTCCCTGGGCTCTACAGGCATCAGTAAGTGGGAGCACACCCATGAGATGTCCAGCTTCTCCTTATGCAGTGGCAGAAGTATGTTGTAGCTTCTTGTGATTTACAAAGTAATTTTCATGCTTTCCGGGGCAATTATGATATTCACATGATGAGCTATTCTTCTGCTCATGGCCACAGAAGTTCAGAATTTACAGGAATGATTGAAAAATGAAGTGAAGTAGTCTGCTTCACAAACTAGCATTTAGAATTTCTATCTAACTTCCACACTTGCACTTGTGAGCATTTTAAGAAAAGTGGATTTGATGTAAGCATACGATATTAACCATTAATGTGGGAAAATGCCACATAAAACTTGCCAGGTAGAGTGATTGTGCTTAAAAGTCAGTTTTTGAGCATGTATGCTACATTGCTGCTTAAAGGAGGTATTAAAAATAACCAAACAATTTTTAAGTTTACTTGTAGGAAAATAATGCATATCTTGCATCTCTGTCAAATGCCTAACATCTGAGATTGTCAGTTCTGCTTAAGGAACTCTGCATTCAACCATTTCCAACCCTGATCCCACCCTTTTACAGGGCATTTATGCTGTTCATTAGTATACTCCTTTAATATTTTTGTTATATATGAGCTATCAAAACGAAATCCATTGATTCAAATTGTTGCAGAAAATAGTTATTATGAAAAAGAGTTTTAAAGAAATACAAAAGCAATCCTCAGTAGTCAGGCATGCTATGAGAAAACCAGTATTCATTATTTGTATTTTTTCATCAGTGCCAGAAAAAAATCTTTCTACAGGCCAAAGTGTGCTAGAATGGCTATAGTAATAGCTAGCCCTCACTCAAAGCAAAAGGAAGTAAGAAGAAGGAGATTTGCCTCGGGTCATTGCTATGATAATTTTGATAGAATAAATGTGTCCAGGGGGTCATTGATGTTAACATGACCTCATCACTCCAGAGCAGTAAGCAATCAAGCAAGGGACTTGACTACACATGTCTTAGCTTGCTATAGCAACAGCCATTAACTGTTTCAGGATGTTTCTTTCTGGATTTGAACTTCAAATGAGTCCTGCTAAAGGAATAACTGCAATTGGCTAAGTTTGGGCATTTATTCAATTTGGGACAAAAAATAGAAAAGAGAAAGAAAATGCTGCAGAGGATAAACAATCTAAAGATCTTTGTTTTCTTCCTGCCATAAACTAAATATTTTAGGTGGCTTTGTTTGAACAAATTTATTATTATTATCATTACTATAATTATTATTGTTGTTTTAAATTTGTGCTTTTTTAAAAAGAAATTGTAGAGTGTCAACGGTTTACAGGCTGGTTTGGCTGAGTTCCGTGACTGGTGGGGCAGAGGAATTTCACAAAATCCACACCTCTGGAAAAAAAGGGAACAGGGGACCCCAAAATGATTAAAAACAGTGGCAACGATCTGAAGAGAAACAAAATCATTTACTAAATATGGTATCAGAATGCAAGATAACACACCGTAATAAAATATAATTAGAATTGAAGCTATCAGATATCAAATATAATGAGAGAATGTCCAAAAGGTGGATAGGCCTCACCATAACGCAGAGGTGAGATGTGCAATCCAGTTGAGCAGCAGGGAGACAGGAGGAGAGCTGACGAAGAAGAGCAGACGAAAAAGAGCATCAGGTGACCTTGCCAGGAGCTTTATCTCCTCTCTGTGACTGCAAAGTCCCCTGGGGAATGTAGTTCTCCTCCAGACAGGCACCTGGAACTTGAGCATTAACAGTTAAACTCCCAGTGCACTACATGATGTTATGATGTGGAATACTGATAACAAAAATCATAAAACCGTGACATTCCACCCCTTATTCTATATCACTACATCATGCTTAATATATACAAACAAACAATAATTACCAAACATTAAACACATGCACACACAAAACTATATATATACATGGAATTACTGACTGACTGCACTCCCCCAACATCAAATTCCCTTGTGTACACACTGAATATCCCCATTTCTCTGCATCACCCACCAAATGGACCCAGGTCCCCGGGCAAAAACAGTTCCACGAAGAGTTTTGTACTTCCCAGAAGTTGGAAAGACCCAAGTCACTTTTTCCAGCATGACCTTTACATGTGCTACAGGGATCTTATCTCCCTTGACAGTATGTAGGGAGCTAGCAGGACCATCGCAATTGATCAATCCTCTAGTATTGACCAACCAGGTGGCTTCTGCCAAAAGCTTCTCCCAGTGCCTAAATGTTCCATCACCCATTGTTTTTAACATGGTTTTTAGCAGCTCATTGTAGCATTCAGTTTTACCAGAAACTGGTGTATGATAGGGGATATGATAAATGCACTCGACTCCGTGATCTTTGGCCCAAGTATTTACAAGAGAATTTTTGAAATGAGTCCCATTATCCAACTCAATTCTTTCTGGAGTGCCATGTCACCACAGGACTTGTTTCTTGAAGCTCAATATGGTGTTTTGGGCAGTAGCATGGGGTACTGTATGTATCTCAAGCCACCCAGTGGTTGCTTGTACCACAGTAAGCACATGACACTTACCATTGTGAGATCGTGGCAAGGTGATATAATCAACCTGCCACACCTCCCTATAATTATACTTTTGCCATCTCCCTTCCCCCCAGAGAGGTTTCAGCCTCTTGGCTTGTTTAACTGTGGTGCACATGTCACAGTCATGAATAACCTGTGCAATAGCATCCATAGTTAAGTCCACCTCTCGGTCTCTAGCCCATCTGTATGTTGCATCTTTTCCTTGATGGCCCAGGATCTCATGGGCCCACTGAGCTAGATATAATTCAACCTTGTTCTGCCAGTCCAGATCTATTTGAGCCACCTTAATTTTGGCAGCTCAATCTACCTGATGGTTATTTTGCTGTTCTTCAGTAGCCTGACTCTTGGGCACATGAGCATCTACATTTTATGATTCTATGATTCTATGATTCTACATGGCGCACCTTTACAACTATATTCTTTATTCTGGCAACAATATCTTTCCACAGTTCAGCAGTCCAAATAGATTTACCCCTTCTTTGCCAGTTGTTCTATTCCCAGTGCTGTAACCACCCCCATAAGGCATTTTCCACCATCCATGAGTCAGTGTAAAGATAAAGCACTGGCCACCTCTCCCATTCAGCAACATCTAAGGCCAGTTGGACAGCCTTAACCTCTGCAAATTGGCTTGATTCTCCTTTCCCTTCAGTGGCCTCTGCAACTTGTCGTGTGGGGCTCCATCTGCAAACAGGTTTAAAAGAGAAAGCGGAATCTTTTTTTTTTCCTCTCTTTACAGAAGCAAGATAGCAGTGCTCAAAGTTTACAAATATCCCAGAATATTGGCAGTCCGCCTGGACTTTCAAGCTCAAGTTTTCAGTGAGCACCTGTGAAAGTGATAAACTTTCCCAACAAAGCTCCCCAAGAGCAGAGAGATTCGTTTTAAAGCTAAAAAGCAGCTTCTGCCCGCATTGTCCATCAAGAATGTCAATGGTTTAAGGGCTGGTTTGGCCCAGTTCCGTGACTAGGGATTTTGCAAAATCCGTGCCTCTGGAAAAGGGAACAGGGGACCCCAAAATAATTAAAAATGCCCAGAACTTGAGCATTAACAGTTAAACTCCCAGTGCACTATGTGATGTTATGATGTGGAATACCGATAACCAAAAATCACAAAACCATGACTACGAGACAGACTGAGGTTGAACTTTTTACTTTGGCTATACTTCGGAGGTAGGTTCCTGCATGAAGACAAGTTGAAGACAGTGCAACAAATGAAAACCAACATTCCTGACCCCACCACACCATTAATCCTGTACTTATTAAATACATATTATACAAATAAATGCTGTTATCCTAAGACATTTCTCTGGGCCTTCCACACCACTGTCCCTCCGAGCTACCTTTCCTTTTCTAGTATCGCTGGGTTGAGGCAAACTTTCCAGACTTGGGGACATTGAAGACAGGAAGACAAATCTGTAACTGTAGTTGTATGTTCTTGACACTTCTGAAAGTCTTCCTACTTTTAAACTGTTTTCGATACTGATTTGGAAGAGTATCCAACTCTGTCAATTTTCATTTTTTGGTAATTTTTCTGTCTAGTGCTTTCACTTTTCCTTAATGTGCAAATTAAAACTTTTTTTCCAGGCAATAATGAATTGTGATTACTGGAGGAAGGGTTGACAGATCGCAAACAGGGTGTTGCTCTGAGACCTATTCATCCAAGGCACATAGGCATTGTTTTCCACTTTCTGGGCCCATTGGTATTGTTATTAAATG